ATAAAAGAGGAATTACTGCCCAAATATACAATACAATATATATATATATATATATATATATATATATATATATATTATTAAAAACGACAGACAAGGTACTACGGTTAACTATGAACAAAGCCACAATGTGCTAACCGTATTCGGAAACTAAAAACATCACTACCACACACTGAATATACACAGAACACACACACTCTACTAAGCTGATAATTGAATCATCCTTGATAATGGCTAAAGGTATAGCCGAAAGCGCTCGGAAATACAGAACATTCGGACAGTTCTTACACACTCTTTGTCCAGAAAAGAAAGCTCTTGTCAGAACACAAGAAAAATTAAATAAAAAGCTCAACCGCAGTACCTTGTCTGTCGTTTTTAATGAGACATGCATAAAGGAAGGATTGCTGCCTAAATATATATATATATGTGTGTGTGTGTGTGTGTGTGTGTGTGTGTGTGTGTGTGTGTGTGTGTGTACACACACACACACACACACACACACACACATATATATATATATATATATATATATATATATATATATATATATATATATATAAATAATACGAAAGAGATCATATAAGGGTTTTCGAGAATAATTGAAAAAAAGAAAGAAGAGAGCATTCCTTATAACGGTAAATATATCTTCGTTGGGCTGTGATTGCTGTGTGGAGTAAAGCACGTCAGATCAAATTCTGGTTTCTTCTACAAAGTTGGGCACATGTGCGATAACCGTAATATAGACGGAGATATATTATACGTTTCAAAACGCAAAAAAATACAAGTCCTCGTCTTTCACTTAAATTTCAGGAAAAAATATTCAATTTCGCTATAAACTGGCATCTGATGATTGAGCTTATCGTGAAACTGACACTTATGCCGGAAAATTTTTGAAAACTGAGATTTTTTTTATATTTTAAAATGTTTTTTAATAACATTGGTCAATATCTGACTTCATGCATATATATATATATATATATATATATATATATATATATATATATATATATATATATATATATACAATGACAGGACTAATGCTGTCACTAACTACTTCGTCGTTAGCGTCCTGTAAGTTTTAGCCTATGTAACTTGAGCGTCACAATAAATTAGAGATGAAGTTCGCCAACGGAATAAATATTATTTAATGCGCTATTGCAATTAACTTTGATATATTGTACATGTAAACACTTTCGACATGTCTTCTAATTGAGGAGTTACATTATAAACTGTGATTTTCGTCATGGAATTATTTGTTTATTTATTACCCTAAAAATATCACATAAGCACATAGGACAAATATTGATAAACATCAACAGTAATATTGACGAGAAGAGCTATCAGAATTCTTACCATTATGATTACCACCCACATCTTTATATTTTTCTCATCTGTATCAACACAATCACGAACATTACTACCAGCTCATTTTTTTTTTTTATATAAAGTGATTGTTCTTCATTTATGTATATTATTATTTTATATTTGATGTATCATGTTACTGTTTTCGTTGCGTACCTGAGATGATGATGTCTGTCAAGGCATACAAAGCTCCGACAGACATTAGTTTTCGAAGTGTCCTTGATGTACCCAATAAGGTAAATTTTTGTAGAAAAGTTTATTTTAGACCCACTTGGTCGACATATTATTTGAACTTTAATGGGATGGCGCTAAGGGACCCAATCACGATAGGAATAACTTTAACATTTTTTCTCCGGCATTTTCTACAATCTGGTAATTTGAATCCACAGGGCAGAGAAGTTGCTTGTTTTTTTTTTTGTTGTTTTTTGTTTTTTTGGGGTTTTTTTTTCTATTTGTTTTGCTGTTATATTGTATTCAGCAGTTATGGACGCATCAATTATTTGGCATTCATTCTTGCTTTACCTTCTATTACTTTCAGTGGTACCTTCAATTTATATATATATATATATTTCTACTAATACTACTAATAATAATATATACGTATATTATTATTATTATTATTATTATTATTATTATTATTATTTCCTTTGTTTTTTGTTTCATACTCATTTCCTTCCGAGTTCCAACTAAACCTAAGGCCAGAAATGGCATCATGATACTTTCTACTTTACATTTTTGTAAATGAAACGCACATATTACATGTCTTCATCACCTGTGAGCTGTACTTGGAATAACAATGTTTTATATTTAAGGGGTTTTCTGCCATGGATCACTTCAATGAGTCTATCAGAATTATTTACAATCAAACCCACAACTGGAATTATTGATGTCTTCATATGTCACATTTTTGAGATCCTTATAGTTTTTTTTTTAAAGTTCTTCAAATATAAATTACACTCTGGAGGAATTGCCATGTCTATAAGAAAGCACATTCTGATTTTGTGGTCTTCGATCATGGTGTCTAGGGAATTAGCTTTGATAGTTCTGTCTGTGTGTATTCCAGTGAAAGTTGCAGGTTTTCTAGTGCAGATATTGACCCGCTTTATCATACCAAGTTGGATATTATTATTATTATCATTATTTTTATTATTATTGTTATTATTATTCCTTTGATTTCTAGTGTGAACACATTTCGTTCTGGGTCCCGCTCAGAGATCTAAAGTTAGAAATGGCATCATGACATATTCCAATGAGCAAAAAAAAAAAAAAAAAAAAAAACATATTTTACATAGATAAAGCCCTTCGTAAGGTGTGGGCTGTACTCGTGAGAACAATTATTTGCATTTTTATAGCATAGATTTCCAGGAATCCCTTCAATTAGTTAACTAGAATTTTTTCCAACTAATTCGAGAGTTCCAACTACAACAGAGATTGTTAATGTTCCCATCTGCCACATTTTTGAGATTTCGATTTCATATTATTATTATTATTATTATTAACAACTCCCCTTGGTTCGCACAGTTTTTTTTTCAACGCAGGATCTTGCATTATTTGTTCTCCATCATGTCTTACATCCTCAGACAGAAAGCACTAGTATTTGCGGTGGCCAGCAAAGCAGATTACAGAAGCAATTAGGTATTTCTCATTGTAGGATTAAGTTCGGTGGCACAGATTCCAAGCTTCCAATTCGCCGTGGTGTGATGTCTATCGGTTCGGAATGAGAAATTGCAGAACAGCGTTCGACTTCCAGTCGTGTTTGTTACATTTACTTACGCGCAAATACCCATAGGAAAGGTATGAATCAATCTCTTCTCCCCCCGCCCCAGCTATGTGTTGAATAGTCAAGCAGACTGGCAACCAGTGTACCCCAGAAAGAAATGACAATCTACTGCATGAAAATCTTCTGCCTAGTCAGTCATGTATCGAAAGAGACCTGAACGCCCAAACGAAATGATCGCCATTTTGGTTTCCTTCTTTTGATATCGTTTCCAAGCCACAATAATAATTGGTCATTTTTCTGTCTTTAGATGCCACATTTTACTGGTTTCTATCTCGAAGCCTTATCATTGTCATCATTATTTGAGAGAAAGCAGCACGCCACGAAGATGACATTATTGTACAAATATAGAAAGCCATATATATGCGCATATTGAAAGATACTTGGATAAGAGTACACCAGCCCCATGCATCACATTCAAATGTACGCAATCCGATGAGACGTTTTTATATAAGCAGTGTATAATCATTCAGGTATGCTGTAATTAGAAATAAATTCATGGTGCCTAACTAAGTCTGTTTAGACAATCACTAAGAATTTCCTAAGTATCTACGCCTGACTCTAGAGTCGTCCAAGCTGCCTCATCATTTAAAGTAATAAAACAACCCTCCTGGCACTCGACTATTGTGCTCCCCAATTACTCCTGCTAATAAAAAGAAATGTATTATTATTATTATTATTATTATTATTATTATTATTATTATTATTATTATTATTGTTTTTTTTGTTTGTTGTGTGTGTGTGTGTGTGTGTGTGTGTGTGTGTGTGTGTGTGTGTGTGTGTGTGTGTGTGTGTGTGTGTCCGTACGTTTATATATTGGATAGGATTTCCTACATTTTTCAACCGATTTCAACAAAACTTCACAGGACTACGTAAAATTACCTTGCGGTGGTTCTGACAGCGCCAAAAATTAAAAAAAACACAATTGTTTTTGCACGAAATCAATTTGAAAACACGATTAAGAGGCATCGCGAGAATGAAAGGGGGACAACTCATATCGAGTTATACTTATTATAAAACCCAGGTTGTGTGTGTGTGTGTGTGTGTGTGTGTGTGTGTGTGTGTGTGTGTGTGTGTGTGTGTGTGTGTGTGTGTGTGTGTGTTTCTATATGGGATCGGATTTCCTACATTTTTCAACCGATTTCAACAAAACTTCACTTTTTTTGGCAGGTGGTGTTTCTTATTGTCTTGCACACTTTTTTCTTCATTTTTACATTCAGAATGCTTTAAAAATTCCATTTACAAGACAATTGTTTATAATAAAATTCTATTCAATCGGTAGAGACTCATAACGATTGAAAACAATGTTTTTGTTTGAGTTTGGGTTTGACCAATTCATAAAAAGAAAAAAAAAACTAATGACGGCATGCATGTCCGTCAACCGTAAACAATAATCTTTGTCAATTCTATTTTTCAGTCTTTATGATGGTGAATACTTGATCTATCTCTTACTGTTACATCCCCGGGAAACGCCGGGCTCTACTGCTAGTTCCATATATATATATATATATATATATATATATATATATATATATATATACGCTGTACTTAATGGAAAGCTGTGAATATTAGTGATAGGGCTAATATATTCAGTTGTATAGATATTAGTTTGTGACCCTGGGTTTCACGCTTTTGCGATCATGAACTTTTTTTTGATGATCGCAAAAGCGTGAAACCCAGGGTCACAAACTGATATCCATACAATGCGCCTGAGCAAGCGTCTGCAATAGGGATTGTTTAATCACCCTAGTAGACGGGTATCCCTGAATACGAGTGGCCAGCTATACATACATGTTTTTGTTTGAGTTTGGGTTTGACCAATTCGTAAAAAAAAAAAACTAATTAAGACATGCGTGTCCGTCAACCTTAAACAATAATCTTTGTCAATTTTATTTTTCAGTCTTTATGATGGTCGATACTTGATCTATCTCTTACTGTTACATCCCCGGGCAACGCCGGGCTCTACTGCTAGTTATTATAATTATTAAAATAGAATCATAGTTTTCATTTATAAGGACATCGACTTCTGCGTTGATTTTCCCCCTTATTTGTGGTGGTTTCTTTCATTAATGCATGTTGAAAATTTTCTAAATTGTACAATTCCCAGTGCCAGTTACTGGAACCAAATCAGTTCTCTCGTACAAAAATCTTCTCAGTCATCATACGTGTGATAGATACATAGACAGGAAGGAAGTGATTCTGAGAGACTGGAAGGAACTGTTTCTGGGCGATAGAACGGAACTGATTCTGAGAGACAGGAATGAACTAATTCTGAGAGACAGGAAGGAACTGATTCTGAGAGACAAGAATGAACTAATCCAGACTGGTTGCCAAAGTTAGAGAACTCGGTCTGCCCTGCTAGTCTAGTTTGGGAGAAAACTGGCTACATAGTTTTGAAAGGAATTTTTGCGAAAGCGAATGCAATGTCTCAATTGGAATTTGAACCCAATGAACTACTCACGCAACCACATATAAATGTATCACTGTGAACATTGAGTAAGCAGTCTTTTAAGCAGTCGAAATATTTCAAATACTCATAATGAAGCTATTAAGATCAATGATCTGTAAGAAGACATAGTAATATGTAAATGTCTCTGTGTTCGTTAGAAGTGAAGTTTTAAATGTGTTTAACAACTGAATAAGCATTTAGAGATTGAAGAGTCTCACTTTTCCGTCGTCTACTCATTTATATATATATATATATATATATATATATATATATATATATATATATTTTTTTATTATTATTTATATTATATATATATATATATATATATATATATATATATATATATATATATATATATATATATATATATATATATAATTTTAAAATATTAATTAACTAAATCGAAAGTTTACTAATATTGAAACCTCACTTCTGAAAAAAAAAATGCGGGTTTGTCAGAAATATGAAAAAGCGTTTCTCACTCCGAAGTTAAGTAACGTCTAGACTGGTCAATACCTACATGGGTAAGCGCTTGGGAATACCAAGTACTGTAAGCTTGGAAATTGGAGAGCCGAGTTCAAATTCCAGTCTGATTCTTTATATTCACTTACGCTCAAATAACCTTAGGAAAAGTATGAACCCAGCTCTACTCCCTCAGCTATGGGTTAATTAGTAGGACTTATATCAGTAAATCATTATTAACCCCCCCCACACACACACACAAAACTCCTTACAATTTAAAAATATTTTCTTAGCTTTAAGTAATCTGCAAAAGGTTGATAAGTCATCAAAAACAAATCAATTAATCACAGATCATATAGAGTGATGTTAAAAATTTATAAGCAGATAGAAGAATTTTGACATCATGTCATAAATGCAAGCGTAGATAAATAAATGATAGACATGGAAACAGATAGGGATATATTAGGTTGAGTCATAAATAATTTCCGCTTTTCTTTAACTCAAACAGCTAGCTTACTGATTTTCCTTTATTTGTCTTCGTCTATGCTTATGTTAGATTGGGATATACTCAATATCTTTTCTAATTCGTGGTTAATTGCCGTGAAATACTTTCCAGTAATGACTACTGCGTTTTATCGTCAAAGCCTGATGAACACTCCAGAAAGAAACTTTGCAAAAAAATTTCCTCCGAACTCACCATATATTTTCCTAGATCTCTTCATAGCGTTATCCCCTTGCCTTACCTCCAATAATATTATTCGTTAATCCACTGAAGGATTACGGTCATACCCCGTACGATCACCGAATTTAAGCATAGTTGAGCCTGGTCAATACCTAGATGGGTGATTGCTTGGGAATACCAGGTTCTGTAAACTTCGATGTATCATTGATGTAATAAATAACAGCACAGAATTGTTATTCGGAAAGACAAATTCCTATTCCACACGTGTTATATACACGCGCAAAAACCTTGGGAAAAGTTAGAAACCCACCTCTTCTTCTCCTCGCTATGAGTTAATTCGTAAGACTTGTACCACTAAATCATTATTATCACCTAAAAATTCTTACAATCTAAAAAACTATTATTTAAATTACCTACAAAATATTGATAAGCCGTAGAAAACAGATCAATCAATTTAATTCACCGTGTAACGTTACCATTGCCGTACAATAAATATGATAGATTAGCGTACTTTAAATTTATTCTTAACTACCTATTAACTACTTAACTATTAGTATGATAGATTTGTCATTACAAATGGTTTTCAAAACCGGAAAACATTTGTCTCAAGGGAATAGTTGCTTAAGAAAGCTAGCTAGCTAGCTAGCTAGATAGATAGATAGATAGATAGATAGATAGATAGATATAGACTGATAGCTATATAAATAGATAATGTAAAAAGTGGGTGAAAAAACCTGGATAGCACAATTTTCAAAAAACTTGGCACCTGAGGACAAATGGAAAAAAAAAGAAAGCACCAAAAAGCCTCGAACAGGCCGAAAAAAATCGTCCAGTACTTTAAATCTCTGATACAAAGAAAAAAAAACAGCGAGTAATAAGTTAAAAAGAAGAGTGCTCAGTACACCGTATGTAGAGCAAAAGTGCTCAATATACAAAATTAGAGCAAAAGCAAAATAAATAAATCCTAATGAAGCAGTTCACCCTGATGATCCCATGTGGGGAAACCTATGTAGATAGTACCTGTCTCATTAGTATTTATTTATTTTAGATAGATAGATAGATAGATAGATAGATAGATAGATAGATAGATAGATAGATAGATGGCAAGGTGAAAAATTAGATCTGATAGCGGAAATATCATAGACCAAACACGTGAGCAATGATAAAGTTCTAGAGAAAATGGAAACTAAAAGCCCACATCAAAAAGAGTTGAAATTTCGAGGACACATAACGGGGAAAGACAGCTTGGGAAATTTGACACACACATGACATATTGAAGGCAATAGAGACAGTAAAATAACGATAACCTGCTCGGCATGTTTGTGTAAATGAATAGAAGGACAGGGTTTTGGGAAGATAACAAAAAGACAAAATATATTAAAAGCTACAAAGACAAAGAAATTGAATTGTTGTGATCGCCAACATCCTGAAGGGACATGACACATGGAAGAACAAATTCGAACACACAAAGAAATTCATATGAGTGTATAAGTATTTCTCCTGTGTAGGTTTAGCAGATTTTACTAACATTTCCTGTCTGCTATAATGGAAAGAAGATTATGCTGCGTCAATGTTTCAATTAAGGGTTGCTTTACTTGAATTTTCCAACATCTAAATAAAGTCGACGGAAACAAATATAATTCTTTCGGCGACCATACTAGCGGACACCACACACGAATATATATATATATATATATATATATATATATATATATATATATATATATATATATATATATAAAGATAGAGAGAGAGCAATATAATATGGAAAACAAGGAAAGGGGAGAGATTGTAAAAGAATGCAAAGAGAAATTGTCCGCAAAGCTCGAAGTTCTCCTTGGCCTAGGCTACTTATGTCTCGCATAACTTAAACCAATCGTATCTTTCACTGACGCTTTCGTCCTCGGCTCTTTCTTATCGTAAGCCTCGATTTTACGCACCACTGAACAGACCTTTGTCTTCATCAAGATGACCTAAGTCGACCACTCGGTATTGTCCCGCTGTGGATGCACGAAACCAGAAAATACTCAAAGAGCTTATTTTCATTCACGAACGAAATTTCAAGCATGGGTATTTGTGTATTTTTTTTTTTCTTTTAAACTGACAAAATGTTACGAAATGACCAGTGATCATTCCTGGCGATTTGCCAGTTTTATTTTTGTTCGGTTATATCCGAATAAAATTTATCCAATCAAATTATTATACCTTTTACAATACTTTTAACGAGCCTGTCTAAATATATGAGGAACAGGATTTAAGAGATACAATTTACTACGTGCAGCAAAAGACAAGAAACTATAGAGAGCCATGATCGCCAACATCCTGAAATGATATGGCACATAGAAGAAAATAGCATATCAAAACTACTTCTATGTTTTTACAAAAATAACTCCAGATTTTATTTCATGTACACGTCTAAAGTCTATGGCACTCTTTCATGAATACAGTGTAACCCGGATATAAGAGAGTTTTCTGGATCGGATAAGAAGTCTCTTATATCCGGGTTTCTCTTATATCCGGGTTTGGTCTATTTTGTTTAGGTAAGTATGGGAACACTTTGGGACCAGAGAAAATCTCTCTTATATCAGGGTTTCTCTTATATCCGGGTTTCTCTTATATTGGTCTATTTTGTTTAGGTAAGTATGGGAACACTTTGGGACCAGAGAAAATCTCTCTTATATCAGGGTTTCTCTTATATCCGGGTCTCTTATATCCGGGTTACATTGTATTATATAATATCTTTATGAATACAATTCGCAGGTATACGAAAGGCATGCAGAACTCTACGGGCTCACTGCTAATGATGATGGTCGGTGGATTGGGGCCGTCACCTACAATACGATCTTTCGTATACCCGAGATAAGAACTTCCAACACCGGTGACCTCACGGAGATCAACAGATGTGGCCTGGCTGCAGGTGTCATGAGAGACCACTATAGCGGTGTCCCGACATATCCCGACGTACCAAGCTACGAGATTACAACGCTACCATGTTCTCTGTGTTACAACTCCTCCCAGCAAGACCCTCATTCTCGCTTCCCTGGATTAGTATCCCGTGTTCTCAGGACCATCGAGGATGTGCATTGATCCGATCTTGTGTCGAGTGAGGATCTCCGTTGGAGGACCGGCTTGCTGAGCATCCTCCGTGCCATCCCTCAACGCCGTGTTCGCTGACTCGGTCACGTCCTTCGCCGATTTAATGACCACCCCACCAGTCATGTACCAGTTCTACTCGCCATCGGCAGACTGGATACAGACTTCGCTACCGCTGAATGGATATCGGTAGGCACTGGGGAGATATTTGACTCTCATCCAAGACCGTGAGAGACTGGAAGGACAACGTGGCGCAAGTGGGCTCAGCGCCAACATGGCATGAAATTTAAAAGCATCAGTACTATTCAATAAAGAGGTAGACACTTCATTCAAATGTTATAATAGCAAAAGGGCTTTGATCCGAGTAATTTTGAGGCATTATATTACACTCGGTTTGAAAGCAACTGAATTAGAGAAATGGAAAGAAATATAATAATATCAGAGCGTGCAGCCTAACAGTTTTTTAAGCATTTCACGTGTCCCTTGTCTCTTTCAATAAAATGCAGAATTGAACGGTTGGATTGTTTGTTGATGTAACTATGGTTGTATAAATCTAAATAGATACATCTATATCTATGGTTGTATAAATATAAATAAATAAATACATCAAGAAATAATCCAACCACCATCCTAAATTACAGAATAATTTACATAAGTCAGTCCAATTTAGACTGTCCACTAACTCTAGCAATAAGGACATTTTTGAAAATCATAGAAGCAAATACGTACAAGCAATAGAACATAGCAACCATAAAATTAAGCTCGAATTTTTAGCAAATAGCATT